CCTCTAAATTGAAGCGTAATAACTTCGTATAGGCACAATAGAGGTGTTTATGTCAGGAGGAAGGGACCATAGCGGAGGATAGAAAGCTTGCGCAGGAAAGGAAGGTCCCGGCGGTTGACGGGGGACTAATCTGGTAAATAATAAGGTAGATAAGGCGATCGTTTGTGATCAGGGAAATCAGTGGTGTGTTATGTAAGCAATATTCCTATAGAACCACTCTTGTAATAATGTGCGCCCAGGACAGCAAACGTGACGGTGCAGGTAATTATTACATTGAGGAAGGAACTCCAAACATCATTTCTAACCTTTTTGATGATTATAACCAGAAATAGGGGTCTTTGATGCTAACAGTATTGATGTGACAGAAACATACCCGGGTAGGCGTTCATGAACTTTTCCATATAATCCAGCATTTCCAGATGGGGCTCACTGCAGGATTGCCATAAGCTCTTCTTGAAATTCGACGATTCTTTTTGACGGAGATCGAATGGCCTGTGGGTATAGGGTTTCAGAATAAAGCGATGCTATCTCCTAACTAGTTATAAACCTGAAACTAATTCCGTGGTTACAGTAACGACTTTTCACCTGTAAAATTACAGCATGTTTTTCATATATATGCACTGTATTAAACGTACAAAGGGGCGTGTAACATTTGGAAAGAGAATACCTCCAAATGTGATCAGCTTCGCTCCTGTTGAAGCCAAGGCAATCCGGGTAATAGACCATTCCAACATCGTAGTCTTGCGCAATCATGGTCTGCAATTTACCTCTCTCAAATTGCTTGCATACTGTACGGAAATTCTGAAGAAACTATATCAAAATCATACTGCTACCAACTGCGAGCCGTATGCAAAAATAAGCTATTATCCAATCTTGCTTTCATCTGCCAACTTTCTCTTATAGCTGACTCAGGCTAACCCTTGCGCTTCTTTTGACCAGCGCATCACCCTCGCCATTGCCCTGTTCATCATCGATTTGCTCAAGAGGGCGCCAGCAACGTCTCCATTTGTCGCATGCGCAAACAGTCCAGAGAATCCTTCTTGCTCAAATCAGACAAAGTCCCTCATTCAGAAGTTTCGTGAAGAAGTCTGACCATCGGGCCGGTCGTCCAGGTGTTCGTTTGACGTCCCGAGGGATCCAGTCGGTAACCGCTCTGGTCCAACGGTCATCGCAAAATCGCATGACGTGTCCGGCCCACCTTATCTTCGATTCCTTGGCGAAAACGGCAGCGTCCCTGATCTTCGATCGTTGGCGTAGTTCGGCACTCCGGATTCCCCTCTGCACTTGCGTGTACAGGGTTACTCCTAGCATCGTCCTCTCGACAGCGCATTGAATAACATTTATCGCATACTCGTCCTGCCTGCGAAGAGTACAGGCGTATACCTCGTTTCCGAAAACGAGATGCATGAGCGTCAAGTGCAGACCACACAACACAAGTGACGACGTCCTCCACAATGTGCGAATTTTACGAGTACGCTCCTTCGATTCACGGCTCGTCGGTGGCTCATTCGAATGAGGGCTGGTTTGTATTCAAAGTTGGTCCACAAACCTACCTCGCTAACACAACTGACCTATCAACATAACCACAAGCGAGAATATAGTGTCCGTGTTCAAATCAAGGCGACTGTAGTCCATAAACGGTGTCGAACAGGATGTATTTACAGCATTCATGACAATGGGAAGCGGAACAGACATTCAGAGGAAAGCAAAGGAGTGTTAGTCCTTTTTTCGCAGGCAAAAGTGCCGGGCATGTTGAACGAAAATAGGCTTTCGGAACTCTATGGACAGTCCTGACCGTCTGCGTCGTATATAGAGCTTAGGTGTAGCTACCGCTGTCACTATCGTTCGTATCATCGAAAATCTTGCTCTCAGCGACCGTCTCTCACATTTATCAGAGCGCATTCCCCTACCGACCAGTATCTAAGCCAAGTTAAGGAGAACAAGCAGAGCGATGGTCTTTTCTTGACGGCTTACTCAGGCTTCTTGGGCATTGTCCCCGCCAGTTGACACCTCTACTTTCACAACTCAGTACCGTACCGTTGCTGCGTTCAAAAGCAGTGAGTACTTTATTTGGGCGCTCAACGAACCAAGCTGAGAGCTACTGTATGTTTCATCTATATGCGTACAGTGACAGGAATATCAAGAGAGGATACGACATATACGCAATGAATTTGCTGTGAGGCATAAACTTTAAGCTTTTGATTAAGTACGCAAAATTCGGAGCGATTTTATCCCTTATCGCCGATGGCCGACAACAGCTATGCTCTGATTGGTATAGAATAGAGGCTAAATCGACTCTCGGTCATCTATGATTGAGCCAAAGAAAGATCGAAAATGGCATAATGTACTGCTCACACTTACAATCCTTCAAAACGATTAGGCTGCAGAAGTTCTCGAGGCTAGTGAGGTTCATTGTTCGCTCTCTGATTCGGCGTCTTCTTTCTATGGTCGCTGAGGTATCAAAATGGATAGTCCATCTATCACAACTTCATAACAGTACCCTCTGGCATAATAATCACTAACCAAAGACCACTTGAGCCGCTATAGAGGCAACTATTGAGAGAGGCCGCGCCGCTATGGATTAAACTATAGGATGATTCTAGAAGTTGGAAGGTTATAGGACATAGCACTTTGTCAGCGTCCAAAAGAGCGGTTCTGCAACTTGTTTCGGCATTGAACGCACGAATGGGGATGTCAAAACGTGTGGATGAAGTTTCGAATTGTTTTTGAGTACAACTTCGGTCGTTGAAACCTCGCACTAGTGTTGCTGTTATCAGTAAAATTCCTCTTTCATGAGTATGTTTTCGCCTACACCAAAACCGCCTGCCTATCACACGCCTCGTATCAGTTGAATAAATATTATAACTTTGGCGCACTCGGCGCCTCCCATGTTGCATTGCCATGTTAACTTGACTGTTTGTAGAGCAGTTATGTGACGAAGATTTGTGACGCTGTCGGCCTTCGTATTACGTTGACTGAACATACTGCTGCAAATACTAAACAAATACTGCAAAGGGTCTAAACACGATCATTTAAGGACGCGCACAACTGTAGCGGCCGAAATATCTTTCGATAAGGATACTAATCAGCACCGCAGACTTCCCACGCTTCGCAAATAGCTTCCCAAAATTTTCCCAAAATAGTGACACACGACGCGAGGGATCTCAATAGCTGCCAGAAATGAATTTACCATGTACTCCAGATAAAATTTTAGAAATAGTATTAATACTCCACTCACTAATGCTACATTCCTGGTAGGTGATCCTGTTAAGGGACGCCTAAAATGGCTCAAATATGGCCGACGACACTGGCGCACGAAACGCTGAAAGATCTATACCACGCTGACGAACATTTCCTCAGGTTTTTCCAGAGGAATCGTGCCATCATCGACCGCTCCTTCCTCTTCTTCATGGGTGATCATGGACCGCGAAGAGACGGTGTGAGATTTCTTCACTTTTCGCCTTCTGCATAGCTTCTATGAAATATTACCCTACTCACTAAAGTTTTTTTCAATGAGTAAATTATCATGAACGTTGATGACCTATTGAATCGAGGGAGGGTTTGCATGTTAACTATCATGAGTCCGGGCGCGGAAGGTGGTTTTATGTTGAGCGAAGCGGCGCCGTCTTCCCGCATTAGGGCATAATCCTGGAATCAATCTCGCCAAGCCTCACGAGCTTTTCGATTCTTCTATCGGTGTCGATACCTAGGTACATTGGGGTGTAGGAAACTTTTTACTTAGCATTTGTTCAATGGATTGTGGAAGAAGAGCTTTATGAACAGCGTCTTCGTTGAATAGATACTATCTAGCGGCTAATCGTTGATAGAAAACGAGAAGCCAAGGGATACTAACTACAAACACCGGTCACGATCGCGTGCCAATGCGGAGATCGTCAAGAGGCTCGACTTGGGTCTATAAGCGATTTGGTCATTACGGTTTTCATTTCATCATAGAACCTTCGGTTTAATAACTCAAAGCGTGCCTCAATTCAATGGCTGACAGGCCATTATAGTTCAAAATGGCTACGGCAGAAGGGAATTTCCGGTACGCTTGTGTCAATACACCGAATACAGCAATCAAGCCGGAGACCCGTCATCGGTGGGCGATCCTGGTTCGATTCCTCGTGGTGACAAACTTTTGTATTTCGTGTTGACGTGGTTACTGACGGTCCTAATTATGAATATGGCACTCATTGTTCATGCTAACTCCATTTTGCGCGAATTTTGAAACGTCAACTCGAAATGCAAAAATTTGTCACCACGAGGAATCGAACTAGGGACCCCTTTTCTGGTATTCAGAGGGCCGTTCAGGAAAAATTAACCATGGTTCTGTGGTTCCCGCATGTGCCCCTATATCATGCAAAAGACCGTTTTGAAAAAGCTTGGCACCCCTGAAAGACCTTCCTAGTAAGCTACTACGGCTTGTGGATTTGTTAGCACACTGCACCAGTCCACATCACCGATGAGTAGCTGGATGGTCATTCGAAGGAACTATGGGAAACCAACAGGAACATGATGATGTCAGATGGTTTAGAGCTGATTCGGGCTCAGAGCATGTGAGAGACAAACTCCATATTTCAAACCTTAGCGACTTCCATCGAGATGTTTTAGAACTCTCGCCTTGTCAGACCAAACGCTTTTACAAATAGCGCTCACTTTGTTTAGATTGCTTTTCGATAAGTGTAAAGTGTAATACATGTAAATTGTCTCGAAAATTATGTGCCGACCAATTAGTTCTGAAGATTGGGAGTTGCACTGCTAAGGCTAAGCCTCGTCCAGGTCGGGTTTCTGAATTTTTGGTTAGATGAGGGGCTGAACACTGGCAACCCGCCGATGTTAGCCGTCCACAATTCGATCGTAAAGCTTTCAACTTGAGAGATGAGCAAGAAAACCTACTCTGTCATGACACTGCTCAACTATGTAGATGCTGCGGAGAAATAACAAGGGAATCCGGAGACTCTCGAACAGCCACTTTTTCCATATCCGCCTTATGGCGCTGACCTGGGCCAGCAGATGCCCAACTGCTCACCTCTCCAATTTACGTTCTGCGGAAAATCTTACCCCGACTATTACGACCTCAAAATCTAGTCTTTCTTCGACCAAGTCAATGGAGTTCTACAACAGTGGCGTAAGAGTGGTTTATACTACAGTAAATAGGTATGTCGGAGAAATAAAAAGAAGCCGAAAATTCAAGAGACGGTCAAGGTGGATTGGAAATTATACACCGGCCTAATATTTGCCTGAGCACAGCAAAATGATAAGGTGGCGGATTATTACAACCAACTCACCAATACGAGACTCACTTTATATCCCATGTCCTTGTACTCTTTCAAGTGATACGAGAACTGGTCGAGGTATTCGCCGCATTTTTCGGTGTCGTTCCAATCAGGTATCAATGGCGGCAAACCAACCAAGTCACGGCTTCCTCCCTCTATTGATTTTCCTAGATGGGATTTTCTTCAATTTGTGAACCGGTTGGAAGAGATGTTGCAAATTTAAGGAGTAGCAGCTTTTCTGCACCCATTTTCTGTTAAAAGAGGAAGGAAAAAGGCCCTTTTGTGGCCTACTCTTTTCAGGATGCGCCACGCAACCACTTCCACGGAGAGTCGTGGAGCTTTTCTTATGCAACGCGTATGCTATCATTGGCTTGGCTCGTTGGTTTTAGAGTCGACATTGTGCCCACTTTAGAGAAAGCTGCATAAACCATACAACGCCGAAGGGATTGAAGGTTAGTCAGCTTGAGTGGAAAGAGAGAAGGGACGTGGAAAACAACGTCAGTCAAGGACGTGCGGTCAGGTCATCCTACTACGTTCGCGATAATCCAATCCTTTAACACTCGAATACGCGGAGGGAACTTGAAGGGGATCCCATCGACGCTGACGTCATCAATGCGAGGGCTGCGAACCATCGAACTCCGCGGCTAGAATTCGACGGCAGCGGTTAGCCAGTCAGTGGGTGGGCAGCGGCGCAAGCGGCGTGCCTCCAGTCAGTGGGTGGGCAACGGCGCAAGGCGCGCCCTATCCCCAGACTGGTGCTGCGTATGCGCATCCCTTCCTCACCCTTGAAGGCCCCTCGGCTTTCGAATATTCCCCCTTCTCGACCTCCGATCTTATCATGGAATTCGCTTTCAAGCCACAATGTACTGTACACATGTGTGTATGAAAGTCTAGCGCGAACACGAAAGTGCTGCTACATCTCGTTAAGGAATACTGCTGGTTTATATGCTTTTATATGACATAATGTAAGTAAGAGGAGTAACTACGGCTGTCAGCAAAAAAAAGCCACGTCCTCACTACCACTGCCTTCGCTGAGAGCTGCGATGACATCAGCACCCTTGGTTACTAGAAATCAACTTTCGGAATACACAAAGCAATTTATTGAAAATGGTAGTTCGGATGTCACTGATGTATACAGAGACCTGAGGCTAGCCTATGTGCTGGCTAGCTTTCATTTCACTAGACAAGTAAGGTATCGATAAACGGAATTCTGGGGAAAGGAAGACTCGGGTAGCTTCCGACCGCCAGAACACGAGGTGCCGGCAGCGCCCCTTGGGAAGCGTTGCATATATGCTCCTAATCTTAATTGCCCCCTAATTAAATCTTATTCTGTAAATTCCGGCAACATACATACATTTACAGTACCCTCACAACTTTGTTAAAAAATGCCGCGGAATATGCGGATTCACATCATCATCATTAAGAATAAATTGATTGTAATTTTACTCACCAAATGCAAGAGGAAATCCGTTTGGTCGACTGTTATCACCAACTTTATTTAAAAACTCCATCTGGACACCACCCACGGTTTCTCTGAGATATTCGATTGTCTTCGGTAACGACCTTAATTATTTTCAATGTTCTTTGTTTGATTTCAATTGGGTCACACATCATACCGACCTTTTAATCATGAAAGAGGACGCTGAATCGATTATCAGGATGTATACATCGGGCATGGTACTATTTTCAGCTTTCCTGCAAATAGAATATGTACAACATGGGGTTCACAACAATTTCCATCGATTGATTCCAAAACTTTAGTTCATTGAAAATAGCAAAAAGCAACGGATATACAAAACAAGGATGCGACTTATCTATGACTGATTGTAATTGGGCGAAAATATTATACGAAGCGCTGAAAAATGTCTGTTAGATCGACCTTTGACCTTATCGTGGAATCCCTACCCAAATTAGTGCTGAACCCCGGATGTAGATTGCCGCCGCCGGCTAGAAATTCAGCCTCTTTCCCCCTTCTTTGAAGGGACTGATGAAACCGAGATTATACGATATTTGTTTCGCTGTTTGCTCACTCACTGTTGTTCGTTGATTTGCGTATGTAGAAAGGAATCTATATGGTTCCCCTTGACGCATTCCGACTCAATAATGTCACATTCGAATCTCGCCGGCGATGGAACGTCTATCAGAGCGCAATATACTCCCTGTCCTTATTCGGAAGAATACATCTGAATGAGTTTGTTGGTTGAGCTGTAAATGACTGTGACAAATCTTCTTTGCCCTCTACAGTTGAAAATGAGGAAATTGTCAGCACAAATTCGCAAATGCCTAACTTGACGGGGTTTTGATGCACAAAATGAGAGAGTATGTAAGAACTATGAAAATTCTGTTATCACTTTGTTAACTTTGCTTCTAGGGCTGAAATTCATGAAAAAATACTTGATTACATTGGGTTATAGACGAAACAATCCACCTCAGTCGGAACCAGGGTCAACCGTCGTTCGCATTATTCGAACGAGCGGGCCGCATTCGTGGTTAGTTTTAGTAGTTTGTTGGGCTGTGTCGACTGGTCTCAGCATCAAATACTATAGAAACACCCATGATGGTGAGGGTGGTGGTCGGAGAAGGGGAAGGGGATCGTATAGGGGAGCCTCCTGAGTCTCATGGTGGTGGGGGGGTCGCATCGAGACCTTTCTAAGGAAGGGGAATCGCGAAGTTTTTGAAAATGGGCGAACGTCACGGTTGACACTGGTCGGAACTCGAACATGAACCCATGAACCTCGAGCAGGGTCGGTCCTATCGTTGCTACTTTTCAAAAAGTTTTTACGACCCCCTCCCTCATGAAATGTTTCATACGACCCCCTCTTTCAAAACAATTTTTACCCCAAAAAATTACCGTCGAGCGGGGGGGGGGTATATACGCGCGCTGAAAACCGAAGCAAGTACGACCCCCCCTCTACAAACTCATCAAAATACGACCCCCCGTTGCTACTTGTAGCAACATAGGGTTGACCCTGCCTCGAGCTTTCCTGACGGTGGAACTAATGAATAATAAGGGGAATAAGAGTGCTCCATCCGCAACCGCAGTTGAGGCAAACCTTGTGATTCGAAGCACGTGAAAAGGTTGCTATAGTTGGAAACTTCTAATCATAGACTTTTCAAGCAACAGCGCAATCCCAGCGCTGCCGCGCAGCAATCCGCCCGACGCTATGATCTCTTTCTCAAGAATGCCGCGGAATGAACAAAACTCTCCTTCAAGACGGGTCTCGAACCCGCACCTCTTGCCTTCTGGGTAAGTGCACCACAAATTACGCTACCGGGCACTAACTCCACCTTTCATGGTGCATTTACCACAGCTTATCACACACGTATAATGTGGTAAGTCAGTGAGTTAATAACTATAAGCGTCCAACTAGCAAAACTGAGAACTAGCGATTAATTTTGGCTTCTTCTTGATTGTGGACATGAAAACTTAACTTAGTGCGAAACGGTGCCCGGTAGCGTAACTGGTAGCGCACTTGCCCGGAAAGCGAGAGGTGCGGGTTCTAGTCCCGCCTGGGGCGAAAGTTTTGTTCATCACCCAGCATTCTTGTGAATATTTCGCAAGGCTAAGTGGCCAGAAACAGCAGTTAACAAATAAAACTACAACTGCCCTCAACTACAACTGCCTTCAACTCTGCTTTGGCTGTATAGCTAGCTATGTGGTGAAGCTTTCGGCTTCGCTGTTTATAGCTGATGTTGCCTAATCAGATCGTCAATTTAATCGTGGTACTGAATCGTGGTACTGATAATCTTCAATAAATATAATAAGGAAAACAAAGTTTATTTGAACATGGCCTTGCTGGTATGAGGTTACTCTGCGTGTTCAAATGGTTTCATATCTGAGATGGATATAATCCATGTGGTTCTTTGAAAGTTCTTTGCGCATTCACCTTTTATGAAATCTTTTGGAATCGTTTCGAAAACATCCATGGTAAATTGTATGTAAGTGGTGGTCAATGCTCTCTCCAGAGCATATCTGTCATAACATTTCGCGTGTTTAAAGCTAAGAAAATGTCTTTTACTAAACCTATTCGAGGGCGGAAGTGGTGTAGTGACAAGTGGCGCGCTTACCACGCGAGCGGTCCGGGGATCAAATCCTGGGTCGTGAGTCGCCCGGGCCAACCAAGTACAAATGGGCCACATCGTACGAACCACTACGAATGTACAAATGGAAGTAGAATGCGTGCCGCATCCCAAAAAGGGATTGATCAACGGCAAATGCTTTATCCTTTTTTATCCTTTATGTTCGACTGCTTTTGCTTTATAAGCCCACAAAGTGCGTCGATTGAAGCGATCAGCAAGAAGCCTACGTGTTGTGATGGACCTCCAGACTATCTTTCACAATGTGCAATTGTTTGGTTACCGATGTCTAGATACCTGAGAAAAAACCACAAATCTAGTCGGCCTGCTGCTAAATGAGGAGTGTATTCTGAAGGCGATTGGGAGGGGTTCCTGACGCCATGCACGAGAGCTGCCAGAGCAGAGCTCTTTGGTGTTATCAGAGCACAGTGGCCTTCCTCAATATCTCCTCAAAAAGAAGAGAAATTATGGCAAAACGAGATTTCGTGGTCTGGTGACAACCGCCTTCAGATGCCTTCAGATTTTGCATGAACATTTTGATTTAGCGCCTGTCTCTCATTTGACCCGATACCTTTGTTGGTGGTAACAAGCAGTGGGATCTCACGTAAACCACACGCGAAAGCAGACTGGCTCAGACGCGTAGAACAAATGACTGCAACTGATTGCCTGATTCCAGAACTGCAACCTGGAGGCAACTTTGAGACTCATGAGGCTGCAAAGTGTTTCGCTCACGGAGAGCTGCTGCCAACGAAACTCCACTTTTATTGGAGAACATAACGTTAGCAAGCTGATTGGCTCGCCGACATGGCCCATGAAAATCTGGCAAAGTTCATTTTCTCTCGGCAGCGCTCGTCCACGAATTACGAAGAAGGTGGAGCAAAAGTCTCCGAGCTCCTTATGGGCCGTTCTGGCCCGCCTGATGTGTTCTGAGGAACC